ATTCGTTTGGATGGCAGCCATGTAGGATGAGCAGGCAGACCGCATAATGCTGGAGTTTCTTGTGTGGAACTTTTTTACAAACTATCACAGATTCATGCATTCTTGCCTCACCAGCTTTTCACCGTAATGGACGCGTTCACGCAGCCAGCTTCACAGCCAGCTTTTGGTCGTAGATAATTTAGTCCCTTTGGGCCCGCTCGTCGAAGCCAAATCCAAAAAATCAGCGACGTACGTCACGCACGAATATCCGTGGAAAGCGGCAGCCCTTGCAAATCAGTGCTCAAATTATGGGATCGCTGGAAGATCTGGAGCCGCAATTGCTTCCGACGCAAATATCAAACGGAAGAGGTGTTCTACACAGAACGCTGTGGCAGCAAGATTCCTGTACAGCGGCTCTGGTCAGCTTCCGCGCTGATACAATAACCAGGAAAAATACCCTTCTCTGACGAAATATTAATCGGCAAGCTCCTCCGCGGAAATGTCCATCAACGTATGCGATTGTGTTTTTATGCGAGAGGCTAGTATACGAAACAGCAAAGACAACTTCGTGTGTCACATAAAATTACACAAGGCTCTGCTCAGCCTAAAGGCTCCCTGGGATGAGATACTTCCTACTCAGAAAGACGCAGATCACAGCCCAAAAGAGTTTCAAGAGACCCTAGGTTTCGCATCAATAACTTTGCCTCCAGCATACTCAGCAAAAATGCACAAATGCCCACCGAATAAGCACTTCGTTGGCTGTCGGCTCTAGCAGGAAAGCCACTTTTTATCTGATTTTCCTTATATATGTATATATGGGTTTTCAACCAAAGGAATCTTCTGGTCTCAAGGGTCCCTATTGTTAGAAATTCAGCAAACAACTTACAGTTTGTCGCTTCCTGGAAGCCCTGACACGTGTAAGAGTCGCATGCATCTCTAGTCCTAGCGCCGATCTTCCTAAGGCTGACGGCATAAATACCAAGCTGTTATATACATCAGTTTGTGACCCCACTAAACAAAGCCGTCTGCACTTCCAGATCGAGAGTGTTGACCAGGTCACCAGAGCAGGATGATGCCCCTACGGTCAGAACGTAGTACAATTAGGAGTATTACAGACAAAACTGTTACTCTCAAGACAAAAATGATCGATATGAATAAACACTATACTCTATAATGACCAAGCAAATATAAATGTACAGTAAGAAACGGCAAGGTGATATACATTGTACACCATGCATAGAGTAACATACAGCCTTCGCAAAAGAATACCAGCATACGCCTACACACCTCCCAGCTCACTTTGATCCTACCACCAACTCACACGAATCACCCAGAGAGACTTGTGCGCCACACAACAGAGCACCGTGCAAGAATCTTCCAGTGGATAGACCAACATAAGCGATAATGGGAATCCGCACGCAACACTAGTTCTGCGCGCCTGCTCTGAAGCGACTGAAGTACGTCGAACTCCTTCTGTTTCTAGTGCATCACTTGTGCCATCTTGGGCTCACAGAATGCCGCTGATGCTGATATTCCTGTAGTCCACGCACGTGCCCAAATACTTAAACAAAAACGTGGCCGACAAAATAGAAAAGCAACTGCAGTGCACAAGACCTGCTGCATCAAGATCCGCCAGCTTACAGAGCGCCTGACGTTCTTACAGAATCACTGCAAGAAACAGCCCACGGCTTCTCGACTAACATCACTCTCGACAGCCTTAACTTCAAAGTGTTCAATCTCCACCCTACCCGCACCGCATACATTAATGTGCGTAGCCATCAAAAGCCGCAGAAAATTTGTGCAACCGCTTGTTCACCTCAACGCACCTTCTGCAACCACTGAATTCCCTAATACTCTCACAGAACCTACTTGTACATAAAATTCAGACACACTCGCAAGCATTAACGACTGCTCGCCATCAGCACATCAAGTTGCAAGAGAGCAGCATGGACATGAGGATGTATATTTAAAAGCACGCAGCACAAGTATAATTCATCGCCACAGTGATGGTCGTTCGTCGCCACAACACGAATATTCAGTGTATATCGGGCCTCGTACAGTCTTCCCCAAAACATATCAATAAATGCTCTCGCACATTTCAACTCACTGCGTTGCTACCATGATAGCATAGGCACTTTCGCTTAAGAGACCCTTAAGACACAAGGCGTACCACAAACATCTAGTTCAGCCCAGTACGAGAGTGCGACGAATGTATCAATCGATTCGCACGAATCACCCAGAAAGACCTGTGCGTTACGCAACAGAGCACCGTGCAAGAATCTTCCAGTGGATAGACCAACGTACGTGGCAATAGAAATCCGCGCGCAACGCTAGTTCTGCTCGCCTGCTCTAGAGCTACCGAAGTACGTCGAACTCCTTCTGTTTCTAGTGCATCACTTGTGCCACCTTGGACTCACAGAATGCCGCGGATGCTGATGTTCCTACATTCCACTCACGTGCCCAAATACTTCAACAAAAACGTGGCCGACCAAATGGAAAAGCACCGCAACGCACAAAACCTGCTGCCTCGAGACCCACCAAAAAGCACAGCTCATAGAGCGCCTGACGTCCCCACAGATTCACAGCAAGCAACAGCCGACGACCTCTCAACTAACGTCATTCTCGACAGCTCTCTCCTCACGCTCTCTGGTGTCGGCTTCATACGCGCCACATTCATTAATGCGCACAGCCCTCCGAGACAGCATGCTAAAATCAAAAGCCGCAAAATATTTTCGAAACCGCCGGTTCAGCTCAACGCACCTTCTGCAACCACTGAATTCCCTAATTTTCTTACAGAACCTACTTGTACATAAAATTCAGGCCCACTCGAAAGCATTGCTGATCAACGACTGCTTAACAACAAAATAACAGGCTACACGAAGGCAAGGTGAAATTAACAGTACAAATATAAAAGCACGCAGCACAAGCATAGTTAAATTATCACAGCCATGGTCGCACACCGCCACTGTATGCAACACATCCAGTTACAAAGCAGGAACATGGACTCGATAATGCTAATTTAAAAGCACGCTGCACAAGCGTAATTTAATTGCCACAGTGATGGTCGTTCGTCGCCACAGCATGAAGATTCAGTGTACATCGGACAACGTACAGTCTTCGCCGAAGCATTTCAGCACGTAACCTCGCAAATTCCAGCTCATAGCCGTACTACCATGAAAGCATAGACACTTTCGCTCAGTTCTTCAAAGCACAAAGCGTCTCACAAATAACTAGTTGGCATCGGTATGGCAGTGCGATGAACGTATCAATCGATTCGCACGAATCACCCAGAAAGACTTGTGCGCCACACAAGAAAGCCCCGTGCAAGAATCGTCCAGTGGATAGACCAACGTAAGCGATAATGGGAATCCGCGCGCAACGCTAGTTCTGCTCACCTGCTCTAGAGCTACCGAAGTACGTCGAACTCCTCCTGTTTCTAGTGCATCACTTGTGCCATCTTGCACTCACAGAATGCCGCGGATGCTGATATTCCTACATTCCACTCACGTGCCCAAATGCTTCAACAAAAAAGCGTGGCCGACCAAATAGAAAAGCACCGCAACGCACAAAACCTGCTGCCTCGAGACCCACCAAAATGCACAGCTCATAGAGCGCCTGACGTCCCCACAGATTCACAGCAAGCAATAGCCGACGGCTTCTCAACTAATGTCATTCTCGACAGCTCTCTCCTCAAGCTCTCTGGTGTCGGCTTTATACGCGCCACATTCATTGATGTGCACAGCCCGCCGAGGTAGCATGCCCAATTCAAAAGCAGAGAAACGTTCGAGCGATTGCTTGTGCATATAACATACTTTCTAAAAGGGAAGCCTGTCAATCCCTCGCATAGCCTACTTGCATACAGCATCGCCCTATACTCACAGATACCGGGGTGCGACAAATGCTTACCGTCAAGATATCAAATTACACGCAAGCAACACAAATGTAACTTTAGTACCACAGTACTGGTCGCACGTCGCCAATACATGCAGCTTTCCTTTACACAGCACATCGGACCACGTATACTTTTCGCCGAGGCAACTCAGCAAATGCCTTTGCAAATTCCAACTCACTATATTGTTACCATGATAGCACAGACACTTTCGCTTAAGGAACCCGTAAAGCACAAGGCGTTCCACAAACATCCAGTTCGGGCCAGTATGACGGTGCGACACGAATCACCCAGAAAGACCTGTGCGTTACGCAACAGAGCACCGAGCAAGAATCTTCCAGTGGACCAACGTAAGCGATAATGGGAATCCGCGCGTAACGGTAGTTCTGCGCGCTTGCTCTAGAGCTACCGAAGTACGTCGAACTCCTTCTGTTTCTAGTGCATCACTTGTACCACCTTGGACTCACAGAATGCCGCGGATGCTGATGTTCCTACATTCCACTCACGTGCCCAAATACTTCAACAAAAACGTGACCGACCAAATAGAAAAGCACCGCAACGCACAAAACCTGCTGCCTCGAGACCCACCAAAAAGCACAGCTCATAGAGCGCCTGACGTCCCCACAGATTCACAGCAAGCAACAGCCAACGACCTCTCAACTAACGTCATTCTCGACAGCTCTCTCCTCAAGCTCTCTGGTGTCGGCTTTATACGCGCCACATTCATTAATGCGCACAGCCCGCCGAGATAGCATAGCAAACTCAATAACTCAGGCGCTTCGGCGCAGGCTCGGATACTCCTAATTTGGTTGATTTCTTGTCTAAAAAGGCTAGATGCGCAAAGTACAACAGCAAAAAGCTGCGCTCCTGCTTGGAATCTATCCACGAGTTTTTCATTACGGAAGAAGAACCAAATAAAGCCACTTGGGGTAAAGATCCATGGGGCGTGCCATTTGGCGCCAAAGACCCGCAAGATCTTTGTGTTTCTTGTAGAAAGGCCACTCGAAAACCCCTTCCTAATGAAGAAGCTCCAAAGACAGCGTTGCACCAGTTCAAGCATATCCATGATGAACACTCCACAGCAATACGCAACACCTGCAACTGAACGCCAATCACGCGCGCCCTTTGATGACCTGCCATGGCACTCCCCTGCAGCGTCTACCGCTACAGTCTCATCACACCCCAACAAAAATCAATGCACCCGCATCCCACATACCAACCATTCAACATCTGCAACAGCCCTCATATCCCACGCATTCGCCGACTCCTTCTCGCAACCAAATGCCGCATCACCCAACACCAAAACCGACTCCACAACATCAATTACCCAGGCAGCGTCATTCGAGAAAACGCACCTCCTCCAACTGCAATAATACCCTCGACAGTCTCTCCGTCCTCTCTTCCCTGCGCTTCTCTCATGACACTTCCGCTGCCGCTTTGCAACCACCAATGCACCGCAGCACAGCAGAAGTCGCGTTACTCCAAACACCCACGCGCCTCCTCCCAGGTCTACCCTTCTATCCGTCAACTGCATCTGCGACGTCTCAAACGCCATGTCGACGCACCCATCCTTTGACAACCTGCCCTGCCACTTTCCTCCAGCGTCTACCGCTACAGTCTCATCACACCCCAACAAAAATCACTGCACCCGCATCCCACATACCAACCATTCAACATCTGAAACAGCCCTCATATCCCACGCATTCGCCGACTCCTGCTCGCAACCAAATGCCGCATCACCCAACACCAAAACCGACTCCACAACATCAATTACCCAGACAGCGTCATTCGAGAAAACGCACCTCCTTCATTTGCTACAATAACCTTGAGGTTCTCTCCGTCCTCTCTTCCCTGCGCTTCTCTCATGACACTTCCGCCGCCGCTTTGCAACCACCAATGCACCGCAGCACAGCAGAAGTCGCGTTACTCCAAACACCCACGCGCCTCCTCCCAGGTCTACCCTTCTATCCATCAACTGCATCTGCGACGTCTCAAACGTCATGTCGACGCACCCATCCTTTGACAACCTGCCCTGCCACTTTCCTCCAGCGTCTACCGCTACAGTCTCATCACACCCCAACAAAAATCACTGCACCCGCATCCCACATACCAACCATTCAACATCTGCAACAGCCCTCATTTCACACGCATTCGCCGACTCCTTCTCGCAACCAAATGCCGCATCACCCAACACCAAAACCGACTCCACAACATCAATTACCCAGACAGCGTCATTAAAGCAAATGCACCTCCTCCAACTGCAATAATACCCTCGACAGTCTCTCCGTCCTCTCTTCCCTGCGCTTTTCTCATGACACTTCCGCTGCCGCTTTGCAACCACCAATGCCGCAGCACAGCAGAAGTCGCGTTACTCCAAACACCCACGCGCCTCCTCCCAGGTCTACCCTTCTATCCGTCAACTGCATCTACGACGTCTCAAACGCCATGTCGACGCACCCATCCTTTGACAACCTGCCCTGCCACTTTCCTCCAGCGTCTACCGCTACAGTCTCATCACACCCCAACAAAAATCACTGCACCCGCATCCCACATACCAACCATTCAACATCTGCAACAGCCCTCATTTCCCACGCATTCGCCGACTCCTTCTCGCAACCAAATGCGGCAACACCAAACACCAAAACCGACTCCACAACATCAATTACCCAGACAGCGTCGTTAAAGCAAATGCACCTCCTCCAACTGCAATAATACCCTCGACAGTCTCTCCGTCCTCTCTTCCCTGCGCTTCTCTCATGACACTTCCGCTGCCGCTTTGCAACCACCAATGCACCGCAGCACAGCAGAAGTCGCGTTACTCCAAACACCCACGCGCCTCCTCCCAGGTCTATCCTTCTATCCGTCAACTGCCACTGCGACGTCTCAAACGCCATGTCGACGCACCCATCCTTTGACAACCTGCCCTGCCACTTTCCTCCAGCGTCTACCGCTACAGTCTCATCACACCCCAACAAAAATCACTGCACCCGCATCCCACATACCAACCATTCAACATCTGCAACAGCCCTCATATCCCACGCATTCGCCGACTCCTTCTCGCAACCAAATGCCGCATCACTCAACTCCAAAACCGACTCCACAACATCAATTACCCAGACAGCGTCATTAAAGCAAATGCACCTCCTCCAACTGCAATAATACCCTCGCCAGTCTCTCCGTCCTCTCTTCCCTGTGCTTTTCTCATGACACTTCCGCCGCCGCTTTGCAACCACCAATGCACCGCAGCACAGCAGAAGTCGCGTTACTCCAAACACCCACGCGCCTCCTCCCAGGTCTACCCTTCTATCCATCAACTGCATCTGCGACGTCTCAAACGCCATGTCGACGCACCCATCCTTTGACAACCTGCCCTGCCACTTTCCTCCAGCGTCTACCGCTACAGTCTCATCACACCCCAACAAAAATCACTGCACCCGCATCCCACATACCAACCATTCAACATCTGAAACAGCCCTCATATCCCACGCATTCGCCGACTCCTTCTCGCAACCAAATGCCACATCACTCAACTCCAAAACCGACTCCACAACATCAATTACCCAGACAGCGTCATTAAAGCAAATGCACCTCCTCCAACTGCAATAATACCCTCGACAGTCTCTGCCGCTTTGCAACCACCAATGCACCGCAGCACAGCAGAAATCGCGTTACTCCAAACACCCACGCGCCTCCTCCCAGGTCTACCCTTCTATCCATCAACCGCATCTACGACGTCTCAAACGCCATGTCGAAGCACCCATCCTTTGACAACCTGCCCTGCCACTTTCCTCCAGCGTCTACCGCTACAGTCTCATCACACCCCAACAAAAATCACTGCACCCGCATCCCACATACCAACCATTCAACATCTGCAACAGCCCTCATTTCCCACGCATTCGCCGACTCCTTCTCGCAACCAAATGCCGCATCACTCAACTCCAAAACCGACTCCACAACATCAATTACCCAGACAGCGTCATTCGAGAAAACGCACCTCCTTCATTTGCTACAATAACCTTGAGGGTCTCTCCGTCCTCTCTTCCCTGCGCTTTTCTCATGACACTTCCGCCGCCGCTTTGCAACCACCAATGCACCGCAGCACAGCAGAAATCGCGTTACTCCAAACACCCACGCGCCTCCTCCCAGGTCTACCCTTCTATCCATCAACTGCATCTACGACGTCTCAAACGCCATGTCGACGCACCCATCCTTTGACAACCTGCCCTGCCACTTTCCTCCAGCGTCTACCGCTACAGTCTCATCACACCCCAACAAAAATCACTGCACCCGCATCCCACATACCAACCATTCAACATCCGAAACAGCCGTCATATCCCGCGCATTCGCCGACTCCTGCTCGCAACCAAATGCCGCATCACCCAACACCAGAACCGACTCCACAACATCAATTACCCAGACAGCGTCATTAAAGCAAATGCACCTCCTCCAACTGCAATAATACCCTCGCCAGTCTCTCCGTCCTCTCTTCCCTGCGCTTTTCTCATGACACTTCCGCCGCCGCTTTGCAACCACCAATGCACCGCAGCACAGCAGAAGTCGCGTTACTCCAAACACCCACGCGCCTCCTCCCAGGTCTACCCTTCTATCCATCAACTGCATCTACGACGTCTCAAACGCCATGTCGACGCACCCATCCTTTGACAACCTGCCCTGCCACTTTCCTCCAGCGTCTACCGCTACAGTCTCATCACACCCCAACAAAAATCAATGCACCCGCATCCCACATACCAACCATTCAACATCTGCAACAGCCCTCATATCCCACGCATTCGCCGACTCCTTCTCGCAACCAAATGCCGCATCACCCAACACCAAAACCGACTCCACAACATCAATTACTCAGACAGCGTCGTTAAAGCAAATGCACCTCCTCCAACTGCAATAATACCCTCGCCAGTCTCTCCGTCCTCTCTTCCCTGCGCTTCTCTCATGACACTTCCGCCGCCGCTTTGCAACCACCAATGCACCGCAGCACAGCAGAAGTCGCGTTACTCCAAACACCCACGCGCCTCCTCCCAGGTCTACCCTTCTATCCATCAACTGCATCTGCGACGTCTCAAACGCCATGTCGACGCACCCATCCTTTGACAACCTGCCCTGCCACTTTCCTCCAGCGTCTACCGCTACAGTCTCATCACACCCCAACAAAAATCACTGCACCCACATCCCACATACCAACCATTCAACATCTGAAACAGCCCTCATATCCCACGCATTCGCCGACTCCTTCTCGCAACCAAATGCCACATCACTCAACTCCAAAACCGACTCCACAACATCAATTACCCAGACAGCGTCATTAAAGCAAATGCACCTCCTCCAACTGCAATAATACCCTCGACAGTCTCTGCCGCTTTGCAACCACCAATGCACCGCAGCACAGCAGAAATCGCGTTACTCCAAACACCCACGCGCCTCCTCCCAGGTCTACCCTTCTATCCATCAACCGCATCTACGACGTCTCAAACGCCATGTCGAAGCACCCATCCTTTGACAACCTGCCCTGCCACTTTCCTCCAGCGTCTACCGCTACAGTCTCATCACACCCCAACAAAAATCACTGCACCCGCATCCCACATACCAACCATTCAACATCTGCAACAGCCCTCATATCCCACGCATTCGCCGACTCCTTCTCGCAACCAAATGCCGCATCACTCAACTCCAAAACCGACTCCACAACATCAATTACCCAGACAGCGTCATTCGAGAAAACGCACCTCCTTCATTTGCTACAATAACCTTGAGGTTCTCTCCGTCCTCTCTTCCCTGCGCTTCTCTCATGACACTTCCGCCGCCGCTTTGCAACCACCAATGCACCGCAGCACAGCAGAAGTCGCGTTACTCCAAACACCCACGCGCCTCCTCCCAGGTCTACCCTTCTATCCATCAACTGCATCTGCGACGTCTCAAACGCCATGTCGACGCACCCATCCTTTGACAACCTGCCCTGCCACTTTCCTCCAGCGTCTACCGCTACAGTCTCATCACACCCCAACAAAAATCACTGCACCCGCATCCCACATACCAACCATTCAACATCTGAAACAGCCCTCATATCCCACGCATTCGCCGACTCCTTCTCGCAACCAAATGCCACATCACTCAACTCCAAAACCGACTCCACAACATCAATTACCCAGACAGCGTCATTAAAGCAAATGCACCTCCTCCAACTGCAATAATACCCTCGACAGTCTCTCCGTCCTCTCTTCCCTGCGCTTCTCTCATGACACTTCCGCCGCCGCTTTGCAACCACCAATGCACCGCAGCACAGCAGAAGTCGCGTTACTCCAAACACCCACGCGCCTCCTCCCAGGTCTACCCTTCTATCAATCAACCGCATCTACGACGTCTCAAACGCCATGTCGACGCACCCATCCTTTGACAACCTGCCCTGCCACTTTCCTCCAGCGTCTACCGCTACAGTCTCATCACACCCCAACAAAAATCACTGCACCCGCATCCCACATACCAACCACTCAACATCTGCAACAGCCCTCACTTCCCACGCATTCGCCGACTCCTTCTCGCAACCAAATGCCGCATCACTCAACACCAAAACCGACTCCACAACATCAATTACCCAGACAGCGTCATTAAAGTAAGTGCATCTCCTTCAACTGCAATAATACCCTCGTAGGTAAGAACTCCACATCTCTGGTGTTCAATGTCAGCTGAGTTTCCATTTGCTGGTTTCGCATGTTATCCCTTCAAGCTGCAAAGACCATCAAACCGTCCAGACGTTCCGCGACACTCAATGTTGTCACAAAACACCCCCCAAGGCGAGTGTACGAACAGCCCCCATGCTGTTGCTTCCTCATGTGCTCCTTCCAGGCATTTTTCGAAGGATTTTGTTAATGAGCTGCCCTGTTGACAAAGGAATATCAGCTGACCGAATCTGTGCCTCTAAAAACAGCATGCAGTATCAATGTTTGGCTACTGCTGATGCAAGCAAGCATAGCGCTGCACTCCTTTTTTCTGAATGTACAATATCGGATGTGGCAGACATCTGCGGAATTCCCAACGGAGACGCGCATTCTAAAGCGTGGCAGAGGTCGTGAGAAAAATAAAACTGCCTGGCCCCGTGTGACGCCCAACAGTAGAAAAGAAGTCTCGCGTTTGTCCCTATTTGTCCCCAAGTGAGGGCAGGTACGGCGGCAATCACTAGCATCCTCTAACAATCCAAGGCTACCCATTTCGTGTTCGTAATATGCAGCGTCACATCGCAATGTGCAGTGCATGTCAAGGCAACGCAAAATGTATTTCAATAGGAAACGCTCTCTGCCAAGTTAATCGAATCGACACAGCTTACGAGGACGACTTCCCCCTAACAAAAAACCATTCTTCTAGCTTCTAAATCGCACAACACATCAGCAATGATGAAAGCTTCACGTCATCACTGCACAAACAGCTCCTCTTTAGCGAGCTAGTGCAGAAAACGTTATCCCACTTCGAAGTAAGGCGGTACTAATTGCCATACACAATATTCCCCCCTTCTGTGCGTTTCAATCGAAAGCGTCACTCTGAAAGCTAGCCGGTTTTCCACTCATAATTGCTGCAGTGAAAGTTAGTAAATATGACAAGCAGCTCTGTTTTGTTTAGCTGATAGCCCGCTACAACTCAGAAGTGGCGGTACTGAAATGCCCACCCAAGCCATGCATTTTGAATGTAGATTGTGAATGATGCTGTGGACGATAGGGCAGGACAAAGAAAGCGCCGTGACATGACAAAAATGCAAGTGATTTTCGAGCTGCTAGTGCTACCCAAGGGGCCAAAACTACGGGCAAAGGCGCAGTGCTCATGACAAGCAACTGCACGTTTCTATGCCGAAGCTAATGGGCACTGTACTACCGTAGAGCAAATAGATTCACTCAGGCTGACTAAGCCAGCAGCCGTGCTCCACTCCTCCACTCATTGTGTGGAAAATACCAGTGTCCACCCTTTTCCCGTTTCTCTCCCTATTTCGCCTTCCATAGCATGGGCAAAGAAACATACTAAGCAATAGTGTCTCTGTTCCCTCGCTAGTCGCCGACTCTTTGGCCCGCCCTCATCTTGTAACCTGGAATTCAGCGCCTTGAAGCATTGTAGAAGAACAAAGGCGATCGACGCTGCGGCAGCCAGTGTGGAGACAATGATAAGCAGCTGTGAGGAGCGCCTATGTATGTACTTTTTCGGAAAGACACTTTTACAGCGCGTAAAGACTTCACCACGCTGAGTCACTACATCAGCCTGAGAAGCCGAAACGCAACCGTCCGTTTGTGAATTCGTCGCAGCCGGTAGCACCGTCATCAACACGAAAAACCATAACCAAGAGCTCGATATTCGATAGGCAAGCATTATGGTGTTGGCACTGAGCGTATGACGAAATTCGAACATGGCCAGAACGGGGATTCAAGATTGAGATGGCTGCTCTCGCGGGAGTGTGTTGTCACGCTTCGGTTGACTTTGTCAGGTGAAAATAATGAAGTAATCCGGGTAAGTGTTTAAATTTTCAACTGTGATTCATGCCAATGTGACGTTGGGCACCCGCAGAACTTGTCTCGCAGCCACTATGATTCTGTCTTCGGCAGCCGCTCAATGTGTGTTGCGGAGCTGAACTTCCACCATCATTGAAGAGTACCACGCCAATGCAGCCCGTTTCTTAGCTGTCTGTAGCACTGGTCTCGTAACTGTTTATGATTCTAAACTCGTAATTGTTTATGATTCTAAAAGCCTTTGGGGTTTTCTCTCAAAGGTAACGACAGTTTAACTGATGATTGTTCTTGTGTAATGCAAATCCAATGTACCCAGAGAATTGAAGCCACATTGAGGGATGGCATACAAGTTAAGGTCATAAGGTCTGCCTTTTAATTGATCTTCACTTTTGTTGACTAAAGAGAAGAAAATGTGTAATAGCTGTAGCATCCATAGGCGTAGGTCTCGTATTAATAGCTTGCATTTACCGGCTCGCACAGAGTCACGTTCAACTAGACTGCTCCAAATCAATTCTGTTGATGCCATAAAATCGGCCAGCAGTACTACCCGATCATCCATGTGTACATGTTATTTGACAACTGAAGAAATGAACTGGGAAATGAACGGTTTTACCTCCAGTGCGACGGTTTGTATGTTTTTTGTAATCAGTGGTCACCGTAACCCTTCGGAGCTCCAGTTGTGCGCACTGATCTCCTACAACGAAAGCGCATTTCGTTACATGCGTCCGTTAATAATGAAATGTATTGATTTTAACAGCGTTAAGCGATTTTGTGTGGATGTAACTGTAAAATTTGGTCGTTAAAAAAAGGGCAGTAGGAAATCTGAATTTTTTGGCTGCCTGTTTTGCGTGTACAATTCCGTTGTTGTTGTTGTTGGAATCTTGATGTGTACGGAGCTTCTCCTCTTCTACTGAATGATCTTGATAAATAAAACTGTTTCATGACATATTCGCGGCAGTCAGAAAACGTAGCACGGTCCACAGTGCCTCAGGTCCCAAAATCTGTGTTAGCTGCAGCGCGAAATCACCCAATAATCTGACTCATACTGGAGAACGTTGCGCTTCTGAAAGAGCTTTGAGAGTGGTAACTGAGCCTTACATTGCCTCCTTTTGAAGATTTTACTGCTTTTTCCCCATAGTGCATGTTAGAACTGCACAATTGCAGCTACGGCAACCACCTGTACAGAGTAACGCAGGACCCAACCTTGGTACCGGAATCCCCGAGCAAAACGAGGCTCAGATACACTTCAAAAAGTAACAAACCACAAAAGTGTCTCAGTAACGCAATTAGGAGATCCTTTTCAATAAAATATCGGCACTTCACGGGTCGCAATATTCGTAACTTCGTCAAACACCACTACAAGATACCATAATTGCAAGGGTCACTAGACTTGATCGCCCGAAGAATAAGACCCTTTGCGTGTTTACCTTCTAATTACTACGTCAACCTACACATTCTGAATTGTATGACCCTAAAGAAAATATCCGAGCGGTTACGCGGTAGCGTAGTATATAAAAGGTGGTGCATCTGTTCTACGAATCTACGCAAAGATTCAGGCAACGGAAATGTGGAGTTGGGCAGGAGCAAAGTGTGATGCTTCTGCGTTCTTACAGTATTGACTGCGCGGCCTTATTTGACAGAGTGCAATTAAACAGCGGGCGAGGGACCACGCTAAGAGTACTCGGTTAAACTTTGCGACTATCGTTTCATGAGAGAAGCAGATGCCTGCGGCAAAGTTCGTGGCTTAGCGCTTGGCTAAGCCACAACTTAAGCTTTCCAGAGTCGTAACGGAAGGACCAAACACCAAGTTTTCAGGGCTCAACAGACAGAAACGGCAACAGAACTGGCAGCGATGCAAGACCCACTGGACGCACTTATTAAGTCCACATTATTAGCCTCTCGTCATGTTTCAAGTTCGTTTTACTATGACAAATAGACAAGAAAAGATCTGCCGTCGGACACGGGACCTGTAGGGTGGGTCAGCGTCTCGGAATCTTAGCCAGCCCTGATAAGCGTTTGGCGCTGCTAGCTGGTTGGCTCTCCTAGCCTGTAGTACACTGCGTTCTCTACAGCGACTACGATGCTGCACGACCCACAACTCGGGCGCTCTATGAAATCTTCTCAGCGACCGATGCATCGGTCGCTTAGCGTCTACCAATTTATTAAAAAGACCTTTTTTGGCTCAAGTTCTCAAAACCATATTTCCTGAAAGTCACTCCTCATAGCTTTTGCTTTGTTGGCCCGGTGAAGGTGTGAATCCTAGGGCATTCGCAGGCAATTATAGTTTATACATGTTAATTTGCTAATCAACTGCTTTTCTATTTCACTAGTAAGAGGCTACAGCGCTCAATCCGCGCCTCAACCTTTTAACCGGTTATAGGTCATCAGTCAGCTATCCTCTATAGCTCACCAGCAAGCCCTACTGTAGTGCATGCACACTACAGGTTGTGACCCCCACGGCTGCCGGCGTTGTCAGCAGTCTTAATCTTAAAGCGTTCGTAGATATTTCTACTTTATACATGTCATGTTGCTAATAAATTGCCTTTCTATTTTACTAGTAAGAAGTTGCAGCACCCAATCCGCGTCTCAAGCTCTGCTTATAAGTCATCAGTCAGCTATCCTCTATAGGTCACGAGCAAGCCCTATTGTAGTGTCTGCGCACCACACCTCCTCCCCGTAGGGCCAAGGAAGCAAGAACCCCTGAGCTGGGGGACTTTTCGGGAAAATGGATTTCAGAAGTTGAGACGATGACTACATTTAGTGATTACCTGGTATTTGTTTCATGAGGGATGCGTCGAAGGCAGAAGGCTTTTCATAGGCGCCCTATTCGTGGGCAAGGTAGTAGCGCAGTCGCGGCCGTAGGCGCTGTGCACTACATTAAGAGGGTAACTAGCGTTAGACATATAAGAGGTTGAGACGCTGAAAGTGCGCAGATTCGTCTTTCTGGTAACGAAGTATGGCAATTTATCGGCAAGCTAGCATGTGTAAACTGGATGGATAGGCCGGTTCAGTCCGGCAAGGGGGAAAGTTGTAGTGAGCACGCACTACAATAGGGCTTGCTGGTGACCTATTGTAGTGCACAGGCACTACAACAGGGCTTGCTGGTGACCTATAGAAGATAGCTAGCTACCGACCTACAAGGGGTCGCAACACTGGAGGAGGACAGGACCCTCCTACTAGGATCAAAGTAAGGCAATTTTTCTGCGAATTAACATGTATACACTAGAGGTGCCTGAAAATGCGTGGAGACTAGGGCTGGCGATAGCGCTGGCACCAGTGCAGGCCTCTTCCCCACAGGGCCTAGGAGGCGAGCACCCCGAGTGAGGCGGATTTGAGAATAACAGATTTTGGAAAACTAAGAATAAGTGTATTTCGATATACACAGGCTACTGTTTCAAGGAAATGGGCCAACGTTAGGTGCCGATCATAGGCCCCTTCTCGAGGGGGCAGGTGGCAGCGTAGTCGCAGCAGTAGGCGCTAAGCACTACATTTGGGGGCTGTTCCGGGACTGAAATCTTTGTTCTTTCCGGACTTGGGAGTGGAAATACTATGTTTTAATGATTCAGGCCTAGAAATGTTCGCTCGGTAAGGGATGCATCTCCGCAACGGACGCGTTATCGGCCCCACAGCGCGGGGGACTTCTACAATGTCAGTGAGCAAAATGGCGAGCGGGACGCCGGCCCATCATCGCCATGCTACTCCGAAGCCCACCGTGGCAGAGCGGCCGCATGGGCATAAGGAGGCGCCCCTGCAGGTGATACCTATGACCAATTTTATGCCAGGGGACAGTCCCTTCGCCACGTGGGACCAATTTCAGTCCGCTATGAGTGTAATAAGAACTGTTATAGGGCGAACCGTGCAATCGGGCGCAACGATTCCCATACTACCAGCAGACAGCAGCACTATACAGGCCTTTTTGCTGCGCATCGAGCGCCGGTACACCCAGATGGGATTGGAGCCGCGCGAGTGGGGAAATGCACTTATTGACCACCTTGTGGGCCCGGCTCTAACGTATTGGATGTATTTATGGAGAACTATCGACCTAAGCGACTGGGCGACGGTACAGCGCAGGCTTTTGGAGCGGTTTGACAAAACAATGTCGCAGAGTCAATTGTTAACGGAGTTGGCTAAAGTACGGTGGAATGGTAACCCGAAGGAAAACACGGACCGGTTTGTGGCTGTAGCGGAGCGTGGTTTGGGTCTTGCCCCCGACGAACTCGCTGATTATTAGTGCACCGGGCTACCTACAGACCTCCATCTTCTATAAGCAGTAACGGACAGGTGAAATATCAGTCGTGGGAACAAGCGGCGACAGCCCCAGCACGGCTCTACGAGTCCAAGCAGAGTGTGATGGAACTCCGAGAAAGGACCAGTCGAGCCATTAGGGCTGCTATCCAAGCTAATGGACCCCGTGGGCGCCAGGAAATTGAAAATTGACCTGGGGGAACTCAAGCGAACTGCTTTGAGTGTCAGGGTCGCGGACATCCGGCACGTGTCTGCCCCAGCAAAGGGGAACGTACAAGACGTCCGGGGGAAATATGCAAGAAGTGTGGCGGTGTGAGACACTATGCTCGGGACCGTCCTACGTATGAACGAGGCCAGCCCGAGCCGGCGGACAAGAGCAGTAGGGAGCCCACCCGTCCTAGCACTGAGAAGATGGAACAATTAAACGTGCGGGCCCAGGCGTGGTTGGAGACGAGCGTTCTAGGCCGCGTAGCCATGGCAAAGGGATGATGTGTCCGATAGCGACAGGCTCTAATGCCATTCCAGTCTCTCTTGAGTGGGAAACCAACTCCTCAGCACTGCGGAAAGAACTAATACGAGCGATGGGCACGCGGAAGGGACTCAGCCGCTTTCGAAAACGCGGCGGGAGTCTGGGTCGGCGTCGATCCTGAGTGAAGAGGCTCCGGAAGCGACGAAGGATAGCAGCAGGACGTCTGCAGAAGCAACAGAAGATGGCTATAGGTCAGACACCACAGATATTGTGCCACACTGGCGGAGGGAAACTTGCACGAAAGAGTCTTACGACCAAGAGGGAGCATTGTGTTATGTGGGTGCGACGACGGTACTTCGCGTTGAGCTCGCAGGGAGTCCCTGTGAGGCCCTGTTGGACACTGGGGCTTCGAGAAGTTTCATTAGTCCTAAAACAGTCGAACGGCTGCAGCTGAAGGTGCGGAGATGTCCAGAAGAGCATAGGTTCGCCGTAGCTACAGGTGAACAACTACGCATTGATCGGGTTGTGACGGGATTGACGATGTCGTGCGGACATGCACGTTTTTCCGGAGACCTTTTAGTGGGACCCGTTCCCTATGACTGTCTTGGGTTTGGATTGGCTGACGGAACACAAGGTGGCCTGGTATTTCCAGTCCGACAAACTCCGAACCTCTGAATGGGCAGTGGTGCGAGTTACCGGTCGTTCGGACTGGTGAAGCAAAGCTGCAAGGTGACAGTCCCACCGTAGTCCACCCAAGGACCCCAGCAGAGCAAGCATATGAGATATTGGCCAAACAAGTGGCGGGTATGTCAGCCGAGGAGGCAGCTATATTCCTACGCTCGCCTCCAAGGAGGTATAAGTCCCACGCGAAGACTAAGGCGAAGGCGCGGATAACGTCGCTCGTTCGTCAGGCGGTGGCTGACACAAAGAGTCGCAGGGCTCCACTGCACAGTTTACATCTCATACTGGCTTTGCTCGAAGCCGGTTACGCGGTGCTCCTAAGGTTTTTGGATGATTGGCAAGGCGCGCTTTGCTGCGCGTTAATTGGGAATCAACCCACGTCCTCCGGCTGGGTAGTCCTTTGGCCTCAACCGCCTTGGCGGCAGCGGAGAGTGACGAGGAGTCTCCCTGGCCTATGGCAAAACTCGAGCACACTCTATTCGACGAATGGATAAATTCGACAGAGGCGCAGGATATTCCGTGTGAGATTGTCCAGGTGTTGCAGGAGTATCGAACGGTCTTTCCTGATAACTTACCTAAGGGATTACCGCTCAAGCGCCCTCATGATCACCATATTCTACTTGTGCCTGGAAAACTTCCAGCGAAATCTGCAATATGCCGTATGACCCCAGATCAGCTCACATTCCACAAACAGGAGATAGCTAAATTTTCGGACAAGGTTGGATCGGACCGACCTATTCGCCTATTTACTCTCCTACGATCATGGTGGACAAGCGTGACGATGACTCCGGGGAGCGGAAGATGCGTATGGTTGTTAATTACCAGGCTCTAAATGCCCTTACGATAGCCCCTGATTTTCCACTGCCTCCCATTCAAACCATTCTAGGAATTCTGCGAGGCGCCAAGTATTTTTCCACCTTGGATCTTGAAGCAGGATTCCATCAAATACGTATGGCTAAGGAAGACCGGTGGAAGACGGCTTTCCGGTCCGTTCTCGGACTATTCGAGTACCGAGTAATGCCCTTTGGCCTTAAGGGTGCTCCCGCTACGTTCCAGGCCAGTCTTAATGCCTATCTACAACCTTCGTTGGGACAGGGCGTTATTGCGTACCTAGATGATGTACTTATTTATAGTCCCTGTCGCGCCGGGCAAGTTTCTCTCCTGCGACAAGTCTTAAGTATTTTTCTTAGACATCAATTCTGTAGTGCACAGCGCCTACTGCTGCGTCTACGCTGCCACCTGCCCCGTCGAGAAGGGGCCTATGATCGGCACCTAACGTTGGCCCACTTCCTTGAAACAGTAGCCCATATATAACGAAATACAGTTATTCTTAGTTTTCCAAAATCTGTTATCGTCCAATTCGCCCCACTCAGGGTGCCCGCCTCCTAGGCCCTGTGGGGAGGAGGCCACTGGTGCCAGCGCTATCGCCAGCCCTAGTCTCCACGCATTTTCAGGCACCTCTAGTGTATGCATGTTAATTCGCAGAAAAATTGCCTTACTTTGATCCTAGTAGGAGGGTCCTCTCCTCCTCCAGTGTTGCGACCCCTTGTAGGTCGGTAGCTAGGTATCTTCTATAGGTCACCAGCAAGCCCTGTTGTAGTGCCTGTGCACTACAACTTCCCGCCTTGCCGGACTGAAGAGACCTACCCCAAAAAATATTTTTTTTTGCCTTTTCAATATCTATGCTCTTCTAAAGCTAACGCCATGAGCGCACGCGGTGCGCAGCGCTCCCTCCCCTCCTCCTCATTGAAGGGTGTCCGTCCTGCAGGCGGCGGAGTGTGACGGACCCAAACCTCTACGCCTTGAAAGGACCAATGTTATTTCGAGCCTGAAGACGGAAACTAGACCAATGAGCGAAGAACACAGTACTCATCCGCTTCATCATGGCGTTCTGTTCGTACACCAATCATACACCTAAACCACACTTCCCCACCAGAGCCGCTTCCTTCGGGAAGCCAGTGCGGCCGCTGGAAATAATACATTCTCTTATTATCTCGTGAAAACTCCAAAACTCCATAATAATGCCAGTACTACTTGGTTATGTTAAATCGTGTCCAAGCGGTACATGCTTTAGATGAATCTCTGGGTGCAGCCCCGGAAAACCCCTAACTCCTAGAAAACCCCAGACTCTAAAGCATTTAACCCTCGGGCCTGAACCCTAGAAAAGTCTAAACTCTGAAAACTCAAAAAAAGACATGGACCGTAATATGTGAAACCTCAACGCTGTTGCTCATATTTTCCTGGCGTAAGTTAGTCATGTATACTTCAGAACAAAGCAGGTTGTTGCGTATTGCGGCGCGGTTGACCACAAAAAGCTAATTACCCGCGTGAATGTTCGAGCTGGTAAAAACAGGGGCCTTCTTACTTACTGCAAAGAATCTGCCAATTGTTTAATTAAAAAAAAAAATTGCCTCGAGATATGTCGAGGCTAACTTAGCACGAGTAGCTCTTGAAGTTCCTCTTTGAATGCTGCAAGCCAGCAATAAAGGAAGACGCGACTAAAGCATCCGGCTTACTGGCTGAAGGGAAACGTGAATGGTTGCCTATTGGCCGGAAACTGGGATGCATAAATCTCACAATTCTCTATATTAGACTCAACTAGAGCAGAAATAATGAACGACATTGACAAAGTAGTCACTGGCTGAGTGGACCCGTGACACGTTGCCAATTGTCCAGCCATTGGGGTAACTAAATCTGACAACTCCCACACGCTAGACTCAACCAAGGCAGAAATTATGAACTACATAGCCAACATATGTATTCCACAGGCTGAACGGACACGTGAATCGTTGCCAGCTGCCCAGAAATTAGGGTACCTAAATCTGAAGGCTTCCACATGCTAGACTCAGCTACAGCAGCAATAGAGAAGGCCACGATTAAAGCATTCAGCTTACTGGCTGAAGGGGCCCGTGAATCTTTGCCAGCTGCCCAGAAATTCTGGTGCCTAAATCTCACAGCTCCCACATGCTAAACTCATCTACAACAGCAATAAAGGCTGACACGCTTAGAGCACCCAGCTAAGTGCCTGAAGGGACGCCTGAATCTTTGCAACTGGACAGAAATCAGGGTACCTGAATCGGACAATTCCACGTGGTAAACTCAAATAGAACAGTAATAAATAACGGCACGGCTAAAATATCCAGCTCACTGGCTGAAGAGACCCGTGAAACTTTGGCAGTTTGCCAGAACTTGGGGAACACAAATCTGCGAATTCTGCGCCGGCCAAAGAACGTCAGAGTTATCAGGAGCAACAGTGGGAATGTGGATTACGAGACGAAATCGCTGCAAACACTCTCACTCGCCAACATGTTTCCGGCGTCTCCTTTATCCAATCAAGTAAAGGTTCGAATGTGTGCTTTTGCGTGAGCAATTTTTATCACGCGAAAGGGTGACCCCGCACGCGAAAAGCTGACCCCAAGCGACGAACGCAAAGCGCTTGAAGATGAAGCGCTCATTTGTAGAGATCTGGCAGGAAGCGTGAGCAATGGTGCATGCAGATGTAAGAATCCCGCAAAGCGGATGAAACACCGTTGATTCGAAGTTTCTCCCAGAGAGCTAAGCTTGCCATCGCTACTGAGGGTGACAGGAGCCATGCTCGGAAATGCATTACGTGATTCGCAACGTTCGTACGTCATGCTTGGGACTGCTTTCAACGCTACGGGCGGACTAGGAGTAGCACCGTTGGCCCAGTTCTGTTCTCGCGGCCGTAATAACGATGCTGCAGCAGTTGTTGTCCAGCGCGAACGGAGCTGTAGACAAGCCAGAAAGTCATTTCTAATTCCAAAACACTTCCTCTCATATCACTAGCTGCGAGTATAGCCATTTGAATTATCTTC